TTCAAAAGAGGACATATATGAGGCCAACAAACATATGAAAAAATGCTCATCATCACTGGTCATTAGAGAAATGCAAATCAAAACCACACTGATATATCATCTCACACCAGTTAGAATGGTGATCATTAAAAAATCTGGAGACAACAGATGCTGGACAGGATGTGGAGAAATAGGAACACTCTTACACAGTTGGTGGGAGGGTAAATTAGTTCAACCATTGTGGAAGACAGTGTGGCGATTTCTCAAAGATCTAGAAATAGAAATTCCATTTGACCCAGCAATCCTGCTATTGGGTATATACCCAAAGAACGATAAATCGTTCTGCTATAAAGACACATGCACAGGTATATTCACTGCAGCCCTGTGTATAATAACAAAGACCTGGAACCAACCCAAATGCCCATCAATGATAGACTAGACAAAGAAAATGTGGTACATATACACCACGGAATACTATGCAGCCATAAAAAATGATGAGTTCGTGTCCTTTGTAGGGACTTAGATGAATATGGAAACCATCATTCTCAGCAAACTGACCCAAGAACAGAAAGCCAAGCACCATATGTTCTCACTCATAGGTGGGTGTTGAACAACGAGAACATGTGGACTCAGGGAGAGGAGCATCACACACGGGGGACAGTTGGAGGGGTAGGGGAGAGACACGCCAGATATAGTATGCACCTAAAGTAAAATAAATAAATTTTAAAAAATTGGCTCAGATTTGTTATGACACACTGCTGGCCAAATAGAGCACATCGGGATGCTATATTTGGTGCAAGGGATGCTGCTTGGCAACCTCTGATTGAAGTACAACTCAGTCATATCTTGAACGCCCATGGTGACGGGGAGCTCACCACCTCTCTGTGCTGCCTCCTGCCTCAGATCCAAGTGGGTGCTGATGGTACAGTGTCTCCAAGTGGCTTCCTAGCCCTTGGGACTGCAGACTTCTAAGGCCCTGGCAATGCTTTCTCAATAAAGAAGCCTAGCTGGCAAAAAAAATCCTCTCCAAAGCCAACACAATGCCCCTGCCTGCCCGTGGCCCCCTTTCTGGGAAATGTGAAGTCTTCAGCATCCCATGGGTAAAAGCTAGACTGGATGGCTGGTCTCAGTAGCCCTTCTATTAATTCACAACTGGCAGTTGCATCTTTGTAAGAGCCCTTGAGCCAAGTGAGCGTGTCCAGGAGCTGGCTGCCTCCTTGGCTCGATGACAAGCCCACAGGGGACTGGTGCTGGACCTTCTGCTCTGAGTGAATTCCCCCATGGTGGTCAGTGTTGTGGCAGGCACAAGGGCAACTCAGGCTGCTATAATACTTGTCAGCCCATCATTTGTATGAAAGCTAATGCCTTCCAGGGTAGGAGGGGGCAGAGAGAAGTGATAGGCAAGCCCAGTCCCCAGGGAGGCTGCTGGGCATGGCCTGGGGCAGGGAAGGAGGACATAAGATTGGGAAGAAGGCCCTGCTCAAGGTGCTAAGGCAGCTGCAGTTACTGGATGCCTCTGTCCTCCTCTCAGCTGGCCCCTGTCAGAGCCACTGGCTGCTCCTTTCCAGAAATCTCACTGCATGCAGCAGTCACAGTACTCTCTGCCCCTTCTCCCCAGCCAGGCCCACCCCTCTGGCCCTTTGGATGGTAAAAGGGCTACAAAAAGTGGTGGAACAAGATGTATTCATGAGGGTCCTCTGGCCCTGCAGCTTCTTCCTGTTCACACCCACCCCAAAAGCCAGTGGTCAGGGCCAGCAGGGTACAAGCAGCAGTGCAGGAAAGGAGGAAGAGCAAGCTATGAATCCCACATCCCCACACTGCCAGGCAAACCTCTGTGGCTTGGCTCAGCCTAGCTCACAGACTTTATCCTGCCATGCTAAGCTTGGGGATAGAGGCCACAGGCTCTGAGGCCAAAGAGATAAAACAGAGCTCTGCCCTCAGGGAGCTCAGTTCGGGAGCTCAGGCTAAGCATGGAACAAGCACATGAAAGGTAACCTCAATACTCCAAGCATGGTCCTGGTCTGGGCACCAGCCACATAGCATTCTTTGGATGCTTATGAGAAATGCAGTATCTCAGATCCCATCCAGACCTACTGAGTTAGAACCTGTATTTAACAAGATCCCCAGGTGAGTCGGATGACATTATAGCAGGAGAAGCTGGATTGTAACAAACAGAGAGCTCCGTCCAAATGCCACAAGGTGGTCAGCCAGGGAGAGATGGATGGCAGGCAGGGTGGCCTGAGAGGGAGTCCCACAAGGCCCTGGGTAGAGTAAGGAGAAGCAGAGGCAGCCCAGAAAAGCCTATTATTAGTCATGTCCCAGGTTATGCTGGTCCCTCAAAGCACAGCCCACCCTTGCCCTGAAAAAGGTACCCAGCCTTCCTCCCCCTGGAATGGGAGATGCCACAAGCAGTCCATCAGAGCCAGCCCTGAACTCCAAACTGCAAACTCAATCTATCACAGTTTGCTGGCAATTCTTTATGAAGCCATTTTTGCTGGATCAATGCTTTCTGCCCTTCAAAATGATGAATAAGTCCTCACCTAGCCTGAGCAATGCTTGCAGAAGCTCTTGTGAAGCCTGAGATGGGCAATGGCAATTGGCTACACATAGAAGCCCGAGGCCAGTGGCGGAAAACTCTGGAGACCAAGGCTGGAGGTGCTGGTTGGGATGGGTGGCTTAGGTGGGGTTGAGTAGTGGGTCTTCTAAGCTTAGAAGACTTAGCTAGGCTCTTGCCTCTTTGACCTTCTGAGGATGAGACTAATTGTTTTGGCCTAGAAGCAGGAAAGGCATGGCCAGTACTCCTTCAGACACACTCAGATGGTCTTCCTTTGATTTCTTTCCTTACACCCCACCTAGCTCCAGACAGCTACAAGGCTGTGCAAAGAGGACATGCACTTGCAGCCACCAGTCCCTGTTGCTTGTTGCACAAATCCAGATTCAAAGCCCACTCCAACCCTTTTACCATTGCCCATTTAACTATCCTACAGCATGCCTGCTTCCCTACCCCTGCCACCATCTCCTGCAGCCATGTCCCAGACCACCTGCAGTTAGTGGGAGATTCTGCAGCAGGGGGACTGCAGACAGACATACCAGAATGAGTAGGAGTAAGATCAGGAAGGGGGAGAGGATCCTATTTGATGAAATTGACCCAGTCCTAACTCTTCACCATCCAAGGTAAGGGAGACAGGAAGGGCCAGGCCTAGCATCCAGAAGGTCCTCAGTCAATGCCTGCTGTTGAGAGAGGCTGGGCATGCCTGGGGTTGGCCTCTTGTAAACTCCCCAGCAATGGGCTTGATGATGAGAACCCTGAATGGATGCTTTCTGACAACAAAGTCAGCAGAGACCTGGGCAAGGCAGGCGAGGGCCCTTCAACACCCAAGTGGTTGGTACTGGAACTGCCTGTCACCACCACTGAAGAGCTCAGAGACAGGAGGAAAAGCCTAGGACACCCAGGGAGGTGAAAGAAACATAGCTCCTGCTCACTCTTCCCTAGCTCAGCCTGGGATCCTCAGGGCCCAGTACTGCTGGGAGGCAATTCCACTCTTTGGGAACCTGGCACTGGGAACCCAGTCACCATTCCTGATGGGAGGGGCCCACATTTGCTCACTCAATTTGATGACTACAGCTGTCTGTTTAGCCTACCCTATGGTCTCCCCAGTCCTCTGGGAATGGGAACCCTGGAGGTATTAGGGTTAGGAAAAACAGTCTCCCAAGGAAAAAGTGGGAGAGGGGCTCTGCTTACTACCTATTTTATGCCATGGAGTGTTGTCTGGTCATTCCCAGAACGGGAAATCGCTCCCATTGGATGGAAAATAGCTTTACTCTCATTACAAACCCAGCTTCCCTGGAGTTTGCAAAGAGGCCTCTGGGTTGGCAAAAGCTCATTTTTATAGGCAGGCAAGCAAGGTAGGCAAGGGAGATAAGCAGGGGGCAGGGCCCAGAGAAAGAGAGAATGAGAGAATTAAATCCAGATTGAAAAGTGTTTCCCAGACCTTCATCTCAACCTTATGTATCAGACAAGTCCAGAGGGACACTAGGGGACCTCAGGACCTTGACTTAGGTAAAAGCATGCCTGATCCCAACCCTAGAGACAACCAACAATCTCTCTTTTTGCAAAAATATGCCCACAAGCTCCCAGTGGTATCTCTGTTCAGTGGCATCTGACTCAGGTGATGTGGAAGGGGGCAGGGTCCCTCTCCTTGACTGGCAGCCACACCTTGTTTGTGGACCAACCAGTGGCCCATGAGAGACCAAGCAGATGCTGGAGTTTGGGTCTCTGGGGTATGGACAGGCCAATGAACAAGCACAGGGCACAGGTCAGCAGCTCATCAGTCAGAACAGCAGGCATCTTCATCCATCACTATGAGCAAGGTCATTCTGCCCTGCAGCTCCAGATGCCAGCTGCCCAGGGTGCCTGCTCCTGGCCCACCACTCAGCACCAGGGGCTGAGCTCAGGGTTCTGGTGGGTGCAGGGGATTTTCATCCTGGCCTGAGGCCCCAGTGACCTCAGTCCTCCAGGGACCCAGCCACAGCTTCCTAGGTCATCAGAAGGCAGATATTAATGTTTGCTGTCAGTACCCAAGGAGCTGGCCCATTGCTAAGATGTCTGTGTCTCTTCCTGGCCCTGATCTGCAGGCTGAATGACCCGGAGCTGCCTCTAGGATGGCCATCCTGACTCTGCAGCCTTGAAGTGGGAGGAGGAATGTGGGGCTTAAGGTAGCAGAGCCCTATCCTGGCTGCCGGCAGGGCTAGGCCAGGCTCAGAACACCTTTTCAGTCTGTCTCCAATGCAGCCTAGACCCAAGAAGACCGGTGCCTGAACACAGAGCAAAGTTCCCAGCGCGGTACTGGAGGGGGGCTGAGGGTGTCTCGGAGCCTAGAAGCGCCCTGCTTCTCTTGGAGCTCCCAGCGCAAGGAAGGAAAGTTAACTCCGGCTGGGACGCAGGGTCAGGAGGAGGCATGTCTGCGACCGCGACCACAACCGCGCAGGGCACCCACAGGATCATCGCCGTGGTCCCTTACCTGAAGTCGCTGTAAGGGTGGATAACCCAAAATCCGGCCGACTTGACCCTCTCTTGCTCGCGCTCCACGGCTTTCTGGCTGCCGAACATCCTTAGGGAGAATTCGTCGACCCCGGGTTGGAGCATGGCCCCGAACTGGTGCTGCATGAAGCCGGCCTGGCCTAGGTGCACCTCGGCCTCCGGAAGGATCTGGTCGCCGGCGGCCGCGCCTTCCTCCACTTTGATAGTGGTGTCCGCAGAGGGCTGCTCGCAGGAGGCGGAGGCCCGCTGCGGTGGCTGCTGCGGCGGCGGTGGCGAGGCTGCGGGCTGCACCGACCCGCCGGGGCTCACCGGCTCGGCCGCCAGGCCTGGGGACGTCCTGCCCTCGCCGGGTGAAGCGTCGCCCTAGACGATGAGCCGCCGCTCTTCCGCGGAGTCCTGCAGGTGTCCGTGACTGCTGCCGCTCCCCGTGCCGCCGCCTCAGCTGCCTCGGCTGCCCCTCAAGGCCAGGCTCCCGCGGAAGCGCCTGCAGTCGCCGTTTGTGCTGGACTTGCCTGGGCCGCGGGCCCGCCCTTCGCTGTCCGCTGCCCCGAGAGCCGAGCTCCGGGAAACCGCGTCACCCGCGGCCGTCGAGGGCGAGGGCAGGGCACAGGGTCCGCAGCTGGATGTTCCTGCGGCTGGGGTCGTGGCGGTCCCCGGCCCCCTCCTCCTCGGCGTCCTCTTCCTCGTCCAGGGTGCACGCCTTGGCCCCCACCTGCTGCCGGAGGCTGGAGAGCCGCTTGCGAGTGGATGGCGGCAGCTTGTCCATGGCGCCGGGGACCGGGTCCCGGGCCGGGCCGGGCCGGGGGCAGGAGAGCGGGGTAGCGGACTGGATCCAGTTCCGCCCGCCGGTCAGTCAGTCTGCCCTTGGGGACGCGTCCTTCGCCGCCGGCGCGGGGCCGCCTCAGGCGCCAGTGCTCGGGCAGGCTGCGCCGCTGGGAGGCTCCCAGTCCGGCTCCGAGTCCCCAGGCTCGCCGCGCTGCGCCTCCTCCCCGGCCGGTCTGGGCGCGGGCACCCCGCGCGTTCAGGGTCTCAGCTTGCGGCCCCGCTCCAGGCTCCCAGGCCCCCGCGGGGACCAATGGGCGCCGGATGGAGAGGCCCCGCGGCTGCAGCGTTGGGGGAACCTCTCCGGAGCGCAGAGCGCTCGGCACGCGCGGCTCCCGGGCTTGCGTCCCGCGGGAGCGTTGGCTGTCTGTCTCGCCGCCCGGGCTTCCTGGCCGGTCCCACCCGCTAGCTCGCCTCGCCTCCTCCGGCCCAGCCCAGCCGGCGCGTCCTGGGGCTTCCGCCGCAGCCGGGCTTTTATCTGCGGACGCCTCCCCCAGAGCGCCCTCCGGCAGCGCTTGGGCTTCTGCGCCCCAGAATATTCGTGAAGCCGCCGCAACTCGCGGGTTCCGTAGGAGCGGCTCCCGCAGCCCCGACCCTCTTCTTGGGATGCGACCGGGTGTCTGGCTGTAGAGTCCCGGCCTTCCCGCAACCTGCTTGGAAAGGCGGTTTCCGGGAAATGCGCTGTGTCTGGGAGGTTCCCGGGGTTTTCCAGTGACATGGACGAGGGCGGACCCGGCGCCAGTCTTTCGCCTGCAAAGTCTCGAAGCAGCCAGGCAAGAAGGACGTGGGTAAACGGGGAGACGCCCCTTCGAGGTAAGACTTGGAGGAAATGCTCCAGCAACAGTTATGGATGCGAGATGCGATGCCCACCCATCTCCGCACGCACCTCTCTCTGGGTTGTTCCCAGAGAGGGACGAGCCGGCTGCAGCGGGGAGCCGGTTGACTGGCTCCTCGAACGCCCCGGGCACTCTGGAACTGGCTTTGGAGCATCTTCTCCCTGTATTCCCATCCAAATTATGACACCTCCTATGTGGACCCACGCTGGGAGAGTTTCTGCTCCACCCAGACACCCACCTCGACCCCCAAGCAGCTGCACAGCCCCCACTCCGTTCAAGTCTGCAGCCCAGCCCCCTACCCCTAGCCAAGGATCCAGCTTGTGTCCTCTCCCAGTCTCTCCCAAGTGTACAGTGTCCGGGCTTATGGACAGATTTCACTAGCTCAGCCTAAGGTATAGCCTGACCTGTCAGCAACACCCAGGACAGCCTGATACCCAGATTCTCTCAGAAATACGGAGGGGGATGTCCAGGAAAGGCTGGAGGCGGGATTAATGCTGGAGCGGACCCACAGCAAAGTATCACAGGAGGGAGGCACAACGGTCCCCTGGCTCTGCCATCTCTCTGAGAAATAACATCAAGTTTTTTTCAAATGATTTTCTTACTCTCATTCTTAGCCCAGTGTGACCACTTTCCCCCATGCAGAGTAGGAATTTGGAAGTCAGGATGGGGGCAGGCAGCCTAGCAGGGGCTCTTTTGCTCTACCCACTGGACCACAAGACCTCCCACAGGGGGAGGAATGACTAGGGTGATGACATCACTGCTAGCTGGCATTTTTACTTTTGAGCAGCTCTGAGCTGACGGTTCTCTGCACGAATGCTGGAGGCCTAATCCCTGAGTGTCCTTGGGTCTCCTTGAGAAGGAGTGTTCTTAAAGAGCTGTGAGCCTAGCCCACCCTGGTCCACCAGCCCCAGGAGAGACCTCCATTTAACTCACTTCTTTGGGCTTCTTTGTCTAGCCGGGAGTTAGTCTGCCCTAACTCGGCTCAGGAAGTCAGCCCATACAGGCTTCCCCATGACCTATGGTAGAGACATCTCATCCTCTGGGAACCCTTTCCTAACCACCAAAACCTTGGTCATGTCCCTGCCTTTGGTTCCCATGACCCATTAGCTCCTGTGGCCCTGAGCACTGATTACACAGGTAGAGCAGGTCTGCCTTATCTCAGGGACCTCTTCACCAACACAAGGGTGGACAGAAAGCAGATCAGTAAGTGCTAACTCTACCGATGACTGAGGGCCTCTAGAAGTTAGCTAATGGCATTAGAGGGGATGCTCGGAGGAGATGGCGGATAAGACCAAAATTCTGCTTCCTGGGGTACTGCTGCAGCAGGCTGGCCAGGGTTCAGGGTCTCTTAAGTTCTCCCCACCAGCACCTCACTCACCCTCAGTTTCATTAGTGGCACCCATTCACGACCATCTAGGACCAACCTTGGGTGCAGCCATGACAGATAAATCAGGCCCTTGGTAAACTCTGAAGAGGTCTGGCTTCTCCTGTCCCCTTTATGTGGAAACCCTAATAGAGGACATTGGTGGTGTGCCAGCAGTCCAGGGAACAGACGAAGTGGAGCCCCAGGTCTTGCCCTTGGTGGGCTTTAACTTGTGAAGAAGCTAGACTCATTCTCAGGAATAGGGCATTAAAATAGAGTAGGAAAACTCAAGATAGGAAAGAAATGTCTACTAAACTATGTCCCCAACCAGGAGAGATTTCAGAGGGAGCTATTGTTGGCCTTAGAGTAGCTAGGGAGGACTTCCTGGAGGAGAGGGCCAGACTTGATGAGAGACCTATATCCAACATTTTACAATGTAGTGGTTAAACCACATGAAATTTTGATTTTTGTGAGCCCAATATTGTCAATTTTTGGCAATTTCACATGAGTCCGCCTAACATTCTTACTCCCATTTGCAGGCAAGAGAACTAAAGCACAGAAAGGTTAAGTGACTTGCTAAATGCCCCATAGCAAGAAAATGGTGAAGCTGGAATTCCAACCAAGGGCTCCACAGGGCAGGCTCTGCCCTGCTTCCCATCTGCTCGTGCAGGTGGGTGAGGGGGCAGACACAGGTGGAGGAAGAAGGAGAGAGAAGGTGAAGAATGGAGAGAGAATAAATAGGACCCCCACATTCTGTAATCTCCCCATTGTTTCATGCGGGTCTCACACCCTCTCCTTTCCAGCACTGCCTAGGAGGCCTGGGGTCTGCTCTGGTTCCTTTGATAACACAGTAGCCAGGACCTGGGGACCCCAGGAAGGGAAAGGCCCTGCCTCAGGACTGAAATATGGAGAAGACCTGCTACTCTTACCAGGGGTGGGGACTAGGGGACTTTGGAGACAGATGGGCTTGGGTATTCCTGGAATGCAAACCTAGAAAACATCTGAGTCTAAGAGAGAAGGGGATTGGGGAGGATGAGTTTCCTTCCCTGGAAGGGACACTGGATATCAAGGAAAGTTAGAAGACTTGCTAGGAGTAGAAGTGGAGAATGTAACCTCAGAGGAGGATGGGAGATTCAGGAAGCTTATTAACTTATGGGCAGAAGATGTTGTTCTTGCTTGAAGAGGTAGCTCTGGGTAAGGCAGTGGCTCCCACACCCTGCAATGCCAAAGTTTGGCCAATTCTGCTTGAAAAGAAATGAACAAAACAAAACAAAAAACAGAGAGGGAGCGAGAATAATGCAGGCTATTTTAGGATAAGTTTGCCAACTGTCCTTTCTTAGAAGGCTGCCTTTATTTTAAGGTTATATCCTTGCCACATTCTCTGTATTAAAATACCCTTTTATGAAATCCTGGTGCTGGAAGATGGAGTTTTTGCAATGTCATCGGCTAAATAAAAAGTTGGCAAAAATTTATTTTTTGTGTTTGTTCTGTGTTTGTTCCCAAAAATCATTTTTGAAATGTGATTGGTCCGTAAGTTCCAAAACTCTGGGAACCCCTGTTGTAAACAAGAGCATGAGACTAAAAGCAAAAGCTGGAGAATGAAACACTTCTCTCTCAGTTACTGCCTGTGTATGCCTCCGTCTTCCTCACGTGTGAAATAGGTTTAATGACATGCATCTCAAAAGTTATTGCTAAGACTAAATGAGAAAATGAATCCACCTAGCATGGCATCTCATTTGTGGTAAGTCTCAGTAAAGAGAATGAATGATGAAATGATGGCATGAAACCTGCATTACCCAATGAAGAGGAAGGCACCTGGCCTTTGAATCCAATTTAGGTCATATCATCATCTTAAAACTTTCTGTTGGGATGAAAGGGATGTTTTATACAAGATTTCTTCCTTTGAACTCTCCATCCCTGACAAGGCCTGACAGGGTCTCCAGAAGGCAGACTTCCTTCTGTCTGGGACAGGAACTTGCCCTGGCCCCAAGCTTTACAGCAAGCTTGTTCAACCCACAGCCCATGGACCACATGCAGCCCAGGACAGCTGTGAATGCGGCCCAAAAGAAACTTGCAAACTTTCTTAAAACATTATGATTTTTTTTTAACTCATCAGCTATCATTAGTGTTAGTGTATTTTATGTGTGGCCCAAGACAATTCTTCCTGCTCCAGTGTGGCCCAGGGAAGCCAAGAGATTGGACACTCCTGCTGTATAGGCAGCCACTGACTCAGAGGCCACACTGTTGACCCTGTGCTCAAGACCCTTTGAGAAGGTCTGGGGGTGGCGGGAGTAGTATCCATACATACATGGCACTTCATCTTTTTGTTCAGTGTAGATATAGTTTTGCCCTTCCCCTCTGTCCCAAGGCGGGTCTGCTCTGTAGGGCTGGGAGTCCTGACCTGGAAACAAGGTTCCCAAGAAAGAATATTGGAACCAGCACCAGGCCCTCAGGTTTTCTGCCCTGAGTCTTCCTGATAAAGAAACTGGAAGGGGGCTGGGCACAGTGGCTCACGCCTGTAATCCTAGCATTTTGGGAGGCTGAGGCAGGTGGATCACCTGAGGTTGGGAGTTTGAGACCAGCCTGACCAACATGGAAAAACCCTATCTCTGCTAAAAATACAAAATTAGCCAGGCGTGGTGGCACATACCTGTAATCCCAGCTGCTCAGGAGGTTGAGGCGGGAGAATTGCTTGAACCTGAGAGGTGGAGGTTGCAGTGAGCCGAGATTGCTCCATGGCTCTCTCCAGCCTAGGCAACAAGAGCAGAAACTGCGTCTCAAAAAGGAGAAAGAAAGAAAAGAAACTGGAAGGGGATGGGGCATGCAGGGAGTAAAGCAGACTGGATATAGATGTTCCAGGAAACAAACCAACCAGCAAGTCTTGACCAAGCCCTTAGGTGTCCAACCCTTGCACAGCTACACATGGATGGAGGCCAAGAAGGCAGAGAGAGGCCCTAGCTTGGGTGGTGCCTCGTCTGGTCAAAGCAGCAAAAGATCATCCAAGAGGTTTGTAGTCAAGGGTCAGAGGGAGTGTTCAGAAGCTCAGGGCAATGATCCTCCTGACTGGAGTCAAGGTGGGTTTCCTGGAGGAAAGAGAAATCAGTTACTCTGTGTGTGTGTCTGTGTGTGTGTGTGTGTGTGTGTGTGTGTCCATGTGTATGTGTGTGTGTGTGGCATGCACGTTTACTATGGAGAAAACAGTGAACGGAGTAGCCTGGCATGGATAAGGCCTGCAGCATTCTCACAGTGGGGTCATCAAGGATAGGGCTAGGGGCAGGTGTCCAATTTAGGGAGCCACTAAGCTGTGGCCTTAAGTTAGCCTTAAGAGAAAGTCCTTCTGTATTGTACTCGGTTCTTCTGATCCCCTTCTCCCAGCAGCCTCACCCTCACCCTCAGACACTTGCTATAAAAAAGCACTGGGAGCCCACATGCCCATTACATTAAGGCGTTAGTGAACAAGAGACATCCTACAGGCACCACTTCCCATTGTGCTTGCCATCTGCTTTCTCTTCAGTTCTGCCTGGTTTCTTTAGGATCTAGGAGCATGAGCTATGGTATTATCCTCTTCACTATCCCCTGCCTCTGTGCAGGACTCCACCTGCGAGCACCTGGACCCCAGCAGAGCCCAAAGCCGTTTCATCTCCAGGCCAGCCCCAGTCGCATTGCCCTTGGTCTCTCTCCTCCCCAGCATCCTGCCCACTCAGCTCTCCCCTGGGGACTCTGTCAGGGCACCAGGTGGGACCTCTTCCCCCTTTCAGCCCCAGGGAGCCTGGAGAAAGATGTGCTGACAGCTCAGCCAGGTCTGGACTGTGTCTCTTTGTTCTGCTGGGGCTCCAGGATGTCTGGGCCACCTGGACTCAGAGCCAGGCCTGAGAAGAGGGCACTGGGAGGGGGAGGCCCCAAGGTGCTCCTGAGCAGAGCTTCCAAGAAGTAAGTACCAGAGACTTCTCTGTCTGAAGTCTGGAATTTACGATATATCAGGGCTGAAGTGGGTTCAGACAGGGGCCTCTAGGGGTGATTTCAGTTTGGGCTGGAGGTGCCAGGGAGGGAAAGAGGGAAGAGACAGAATGGACTGTGAGAGGGGGAAGAGGCTCTGCAAATGGGGCTGGGTGTAGTGGTAGAAGGAGGGGCAGTGGACAGCTGGAGAAGTGGGGCTTTTCCTGGGACCCTGAGATGGCCCAGGGACTGGACTTGCCTCAGTCCCCCACTGACACTGGGCTCCTTCACTCCACACAGCCTGGCTCAGGTAGCCTTCCCTGGCATGCCCTCAGTTCTCTCCCCAACTTATCTACGTTTTCTTCCTCCCCCAATTTCACATCATCCCTTTTCTCTGTTCAACATGTGGAGTACCTATTATCTGATGCTATATGACCCACTTCCTAATCTCCAGGCACCTCCAGCTGTGGAAGGATGAGACAGACTCAAGACTTCACATAAGAAAGCCAGGGATGAGGAGCATGGGATGTGGGCAAGAGGCTAGAGAGCCAAGGGGGAGGAGGGCGGGTGTGAGGAGGGAGCAGGGGAGAGGCTCATGTCTGAAGTGGTCTCGAAGCAAGCAGGTGTGACTTGGAGAAGTGGAGGCAGGGAGGCGTGGCATGCCAGGTGCAGGGCCCAGAGCAAGCAGAAGAGTGGCCAAGGGAAGCCACTGCCCTGGAGTGGGTGAGCGCCCCGGGAGAACACAGCCCCAGGGAGCTGAGGCATGGGGAATGTGAGGACACAGGGTGGGTCGGCTCTGGAAGCAGTGGAGAATGCTGAGAACGACTGAAGATAGGCCAGGACTTTGGGCAGGACCATTGGGTTGTGCCCTGGGAGGCCAGCATTGTGCTCAGCCCTGCTCAGAGCAAGCAAGAAAAGAATAAAACACAGTCCCCACCCCTGGACGCTCACAGTGGGGTGACAGAGATGAAAGTAATGTTTTGAAACAAGTCGTCCTGCCAGAAGGAGGGTCCTGGACCCCTGACTGCCACAGGGACAGGGACTGAGCCACAGCCAGGCTCGAGTTTGAGAGAGCTGCTCTCTCTGGCTCCCTGCAAAGCACAT